ATGGATGAATACGTCATCGAAATAACTCGGCGCGAATTCTCGTACTGGCCTCAACAGATGTGATACACACCTGTTGAACGTGGCAGGGGCATTACTGAGCCCTTGTGGCATTACTAGCCATTCCCAGAGCATGCCGCTAGGCGTGCTAACTGCGGTATAGGGTATATCCCGTTCTCGCATAAGGATTTGATATCAGCCATCCATCAAATCCATGGACGAAAAGATGGTACTCTTTGACATACCATCAATGATTACGTCCTTCCTCGGTATCGGCGTCTGAGCCGGTACCGTTGCAGCGTTCAATTTGTTAAACGCGTGCACTATCCGCCACCCTCCTGTTGCTTTTCGCACACAGAAGGTCGGAGAGCTATGTGGGGAAGTTGATTCCCTCACATGGCCCGCTGCTAAACGATCGGCAAAGAACTTGTCGATCGCAAGTACTTGTTCACGAGGCAGTGGCCACTGCTTCATGACACAGTACTTCGAGCCTGGTTTAAGCTCGACTTCGTGTCGAATACCTTTATCCTTCGGTAATTCGCACGGAACAGTTTCAGGGAATACATCCTTGGATTCAACCAAATCTTCATAGAGAGGATTTGTCTTGAGCAATTCCCATGATTGGGACTCATATCGCTCAATTCGTGTCTTTTCATCTAGGACACTCTCGTCCATAGATGAACTACTGAGAACTCTCTCGTTCTCAGTAAACACTGTTGCTGACCTTATGTCGGTTACATACTCGTCTTCAGCGACGAGTATGCAGATCTGCTTGACTTTGCCACTACGCAGATCACGCAAGAATCTTTTATGTTCGAGCGTTGGCAACTGAGTGATCTCCGAAGTTAACTTCGGAGGCGCAATCAGATCAAGTGTATAAGCGCCTACACATGATCCGTTATTGACTATGACATTCAATGTCTCTGTCATTTCCTGGGGACTTATTCCCTCAGGCTTCGAAGGACTTATTCCTTCGTCTTCCCGGGGACTTATTCCCGCGGGTTTCGGGGAACTTATTTCCGCCGTATTTGTAATCTTGGGACTTATTCCATTTACTTCCTCTAGCTGGGGTTGCGCAACCACAGCGAGATCCTCTACGAAAGACTCTCCAGTCGATCTAGGATTATCGTTTCGCTTAACCTGAGCGATCGATTGTTTCTCTTCTAGATGTTCCCCTCTAGGGATACATCTTTGTCCCAGTCCACCCGACTTATTCGAGTGGTGGACCTTCGGCGCAGCCTGTGTTTCCTCACAGCCGCCGGAACTTTGCTCCGAAGTGTAACCGTTTGGTACACTAAGGTTTTGTGCAGTCGTACTAACGACCGTACCACAAGTGAGGCCATCGCACTCACTCGTAGTACATCCACACGCTTGTGGACTCTCCAAAACGTTCATCAGATGGCCATCTGATGAACAAGCGGCAGGCATCGTTACTGTCCGATGTTGCCAGTTTACCCGTGGTTCGTACCTTCTGAGCCACGGTATTCCAAGGATGACATCAAATTTGTCATCCAAATCCAATACGATAAAGTCATCGTCGTATTGGGTATCTTCTAGCGTATAGTGAATCTTCACTATACGCTTCATGACGGTTACGGATGCGCCTGTCGCAAGACGTACCGTCATCCTCGTAGGAGGTGTGTCACATTCACTGAATTTAAAGTGACCATCTTCTAGCGATTGGCGTCGCACAAAATTGTTGGACGCCCCACAATCGACTAGAGCTCGAAGGGACAACTTATTCGTCACTTCGAGTTTCAAGGTAATGAGTGAGATCTCATTACCTAGAGCAGCAACGCACAATGTCTGTGTGTTGGGAGCAACCTTCATCAAGAGGCCTACAAATTCTCTTGACGTTGCTGGATCAGTAGGGTGCTCCGCACCTACTGATCCTGTCCGTTTTTTGACGGTCCATCCCGTTGTTGCGTCTTTGCACCAACTGCGGACCCTCGTCCCTGCCCCTTTCTCATGGGTGGACGGTCACTACGCCCAGTGTCGCGAGACACTGGACGAGGGGCACTACACTCGTAAGCGTAGTGTCCTGTCTTTTGACATCTGTTGCATCTCTGCAACTTCTTGTAGCCTGTAGAGCGAGCCTTCTCGCTCTCTACATAACAGAGTTCCATCGGCTCTGGACCTCCGTTGTCATATCGTCTCGGTTGACGATATGATGTCGAGCTGGCGCGAGCCTGTCTCAGACTGAAGTCTTCCTGCTCCGCAATTGAAATGGCTTGTTCTAGTGAATCTAGTTCAAGCCGGAACAGGTGAGTCTTGACGGGACCATCCGCAAGACCCTGCATGAACACCGAAACCAACGTGTGTTCATCAACCAGGTTGGAACTTATACAACTCGTGAGATGTCGTATATGTTGAGCGTAAGCGTGCACATCACGCTTACCCTGCTTGAGCTTCAAGAGTTCGGTTCGAGCTCTGAACTCAGCTCTAGGCGGTTCAAACGTTTGTCTGAGCCGCGACTTGAAGACTTCCAACGACCCAAACGCATATGGGTCGTGCAGCTTGAGCCCCAGTGCCCAAGTCTTGGCACGTCCTGCCAGATTTGACTGGGCAAATGCAACTTGCATATCCCCGTCGTCGATGCGACGCGCCCTTATGGCGTCATCCAATTCGACGAACCATCTCAAGAGGGAGTCTTCTTCGACCCCCCTATACTTTGAGATGTCAATCTTCAAAGTCTCGGGCCGACGCGAGTGCATCGACCCGCCAGCAGCAGCCTGCTGCTGTCTCAACAGTTCAAACTGTTGAGCACCTTGTTCTCTCAACAACTCTGCTTGTTGAGAACCTTGTTGGTGAAGCAAGGCTACTTTCTCGCGTTCTGCGTCAAGTTCATTTTGAATGAACTTGGCGATAGTAGCATGTTGGGCATCTCTATTGAGAGCCTCTAGCATGACGCTAACAGCATGGATGCCCATGGTCGAACCCATTCGTTCAACCGCATCCCATTCGACATCGCTCAAATGGGAGTAGCCGTCACGCGTAGCGTGAAAGCTTTGGTCATCTTCATCATCCAACATATTCATGTTGGATGTGAACGCGGTCCTTGGACGGACTACAAAGTGCTACCAGGTGTAACGGGGCACCCTGAAGCTTGTACTGGTGACAGTACAAGCTACTTATTCTGATAACAGAATAAGGCGGTGCCTCGTAACTTCACGTACACTCGTACGTGCAGAGGAAGACGGTAAGAAGAAGCGAGTACTTGGTTAAAGTAAAAAGTAGAACTGTATTTATAATAGTTAATGTCTGTTAACAAATCACTATTTATCCTCATCTAACTATGTCTGAATACAAATGTGTAAATCAGTTATCTGCTCACCACTCATTGCGTGCGTCTGTCGTGGCGCGTCTTCGTTGGTTGATATAATGGCCTATATCAACCAATTAGGAACTACTTGGAAGTGCTACAGAATATTTGTCCTTATGACAATCTTCTGAGAACATAACTCTTATAGTTATATTCTATTAACAATTTCTTATAAATTGTTATGTAACGATTCACCCCGTTACAGCATCTGTGAGGAGTCAACAGATTCCATTACACTCACTACCCCACTTCATAATTGATAAATACTTACTTGTTGTCGTCGGAGACGTCACGTGGTGTCCGCGCAAAAGTGCACTTATTCTTGAGCTTGTATGTCTCGATTAACTAAAATGTTACATCCTTGCCTTTGCCATTGATTGTACATTGACGATGTACATCGTAGCGAATAGGCGACATGGACGACCTTCAATCACGCAGTACTTGTGCTGATCTTTGCTCGCACTTTAAGCAGAGCTCTTTAGAAACCAAAGATTGCGCCGCCTCAATATACGCTTCAACAAACTGTGTTCTTGATGTGGATGGCATTCACGAGGGCTGAATACCGCAACTTGTGGAACTTGCGAGCCGAATACGTTGGCTTTATGGCTTGGTGAGCAGCTGTCCCTATCCATTTAGTCATTCGGTATCGATAGAGCTTGTGATTGTGTAGATGGTGGTGACCGAAACTAACGACTCGAGCATTAGAAGGCTGCTTAAATGAACAGAGGCCTGGTCTGCCGACGGTCTTGATATACCATAGAGCGGTGCTTGCACAAGTAATTGCCTCAGACCCGTAGTGCCGATACATATGTCCAATACGCGTGCATGTACCACCGGAAACGATACGTCCTGCTTGAATGACCAATGCACCACGAGTCAAGTAGTTTTAGATCCCTGGAAGCTTGGATCGTTAATGCTTCATACTTTCTTGAATTGACGAGAGTATCTGAGTGTCGCAAAGACCGGTCGAGCACTAGCAAAGAAAGTCTCGTCGCTTGTCACTGCTGTCTCTTGAAACAAACGAATACACTCACCACATTTGAAAAAGCAGAGGCTAATTGTCGAAGTCTATCGAGCTCTGCTGCGTAATCTTGACGCAGCATACAACGAAAATTCGAGCCAGAGTGCTGCTTGAAGTGGAGCGGTCTGGACTATTCTCGAGATGCAATTGCCAGCCGCTCAAGAGTGTTAGATATCGGAAGCGTATTAGTGCATGGCGAACGTACTTGCCACGTCCGACGTGTTAGCAGTAGCTTGACGGAATGCAGGGTTGGCACAGAAGAGTCACAGCGAAAAGAAGAAGACAGCAGACATCCGCGTATCTATTCTTTGTAGCTGCAACAGCTCAACTCACGACACCCGAAGCAGTTGCGGTAACGAAACTGATCGATTGAGCACATCCATTCGATAGTTAACGACCCAATGTCGAGTCTGAACGAACCGCAGAACTGTCAGAGGTAAAGACTATTCTGCAGCCGTCACGGTGCGTCAACGTCTCCTGCTGAGGATGCGATTGAGGCCACACGAGGCGGTCGGCATCTGGCAGCAATGCTTAATAAAACATCTTTGGCTCCAGCCCCTGCTGCGTGCCATTCCCTACCAGCCATCAACACGACACGCCCAATTGCTTCTCAGAACGTCCTGTGTTACTCTTTCTCCTACTTCTCCACACCCTCTCTCTCTACTTCTCCACACCCTCTTCAGACGCCGCCTTCTTGGCCTTATTGGCCTGGTAGATCTGGCTGCGTTCATGCAGCACGAGCTTGATCCGCGCCATGGATTTCTTGACCTTCGTCCGTCGCGACGGGTTCACCATGGCCAGATTCTTGGCACGACAGTGCTGCAGTTCCGTGAGCAGCGCATTGCGCTCTTTCAGCAGCACGAACCAGAGCTTGTGCAGGTCCTCCGTGCTCTTTTCGCGCAGCATCCACGCTTTCCAGTCCCCCCCGACGACCACTTGCTTGGAGCCGACGCTGGCGGGCACTTTCGTGAGACTGCCGGGCTTGGCACCTTCTTGGAGAACTCGCTGCACGGGGAAGAAGTCCTCGAGTCCGCGACGGACCGTCTGTCCAGCGTTGATGCGCAGGCCGCCAAAGAGACGCCGGAGCTGGTACGACGCCATTGGATCGGTTCGGGCACAATTTGTCACGGCGAAATGGGTGGCGGGGAACAGTCTAAGTACGAGCTGGGGGGGATGGGAGATCTGATTCGGACTGGCCTGAGTCAAAAGACTCGTGTGTCGCCACGTGCACGAGACGTGGAGGACGACAGACAGTACGGTTTTTAAGTGCTTGCGAGGTTTTGAGATGACTTGAACGATGTTTGCAAGTTTGTTGACTGGTGTGCGCTTTACCAGCTGCTGCCGATAGAATTTGACCTGAAGCAGCACTACCGATTGCGGCTGACGATGGTGTTGGATTCGATGAGGGTGAGAGGAAGTTACGGGTTTGCTTTTTTTACATTCAGCTAGACCGGTAATGTCGTGCAGATGTAGTGGCGCTACTTCTCGAGCACTTTGATGACTACTTCTATTCTAGAAATATTCACGCCCAGCTTGAGCTTTATGTGGATCTATACGGGGCGTGATGCTTGGTCCGTCGAATGGGTGGCTACGTGTCGCGATGGAGTAACTGTGTTGCACCCCAACTTGTAGCAGGTAGGGTCGATAGACGTTGTCGCTGCACGCAAAAAGAGCGAGAGAGCGTGTACCACAAGGCGTTTGGATCTTTCTGTATATAAATTACAGCGCCAGGCTTGATGTCCAGTACCGCAGCTGCAAGATGCACGCAAAGCGAATACGCAACTGTGCGCCAAAATATTTCACCCGTACCGGCTGATCGTGATACCTAGCAGGACATGACAGCAGTGCCCACCACATTGTAGGTCCAACCACGTGTTGAGGTTCCGCCAAGTTTTAATATGCTTCATATTAAAACTCGGCCCAGTACCGCAGTCAAGTCCGTCGCATCGACGTGATGTACCACTGTTATAGACGTCAAGGAAGAGTTGCCTGGAACTGAAGTTGTGCGATCCAAGATTCCCGTGTGACGTGGCGGTTTCCAGGCTTGGCATCAAACGTTGCGGTTGCTCTGGTTCAACCGGTCTCTCTTTCGTTCAAACACTGCAACCTCAAGTCCCACGCAGATGGCACGCGGCCCTCTCGCTGCAAGAGCAGCGACGATCGCGACCTTACCTCTTTACCGTGATAACTAGTAATCAGCTGTCCTTCTACCCACCCACCTCCTCGGACAATTCAAAAAACCCACCGCCCCCCTTCGATCTTCTTTGACGTAAAACCTCGCCTGCCTTTTCGCACGCCAGTGACGATAGGCTCATCACCGGGCGTCGCATGTGACGGGTCCGTCGCCCAACTTTCCCTCCCCATACAAACATCCAGTCATTCGTACAAGCCGGCCCTTTTCTGACGCGCACGATCGTAGCTCGTCGACGCTGTCGACGCGACGGACGTTGAAGTTCGTCCAGCCAATCAAAAAGCAGCTACGAAGGCGCTATCGTCACGCACTCGCTCAGACCTCATTCTGCGTTTTGCGTGCTCCAAGCGCAATCAAGTTCCAGGGCATTTGCTGCTTCGCTCGCTCTCCTCTGCCCTCGTCCCTCTCATGAGCACCCAGGAAACGTCCCCGCACGCGCAGATGCGCCACAGCCGCTCGATGGACATGGGCGTAGTCCGCACAATCGATACGTCGCATCAAATGGAGGAAGTCAAGGCCTTGATCCTCTCGAGCGACGTCTTTAACACGGACACAGTCACGGCCGAAGTCGAGTGGTTCTACGGACCTTTGGGCATCCACGACTTCTACTTCCTGGGCCAGTCCCCCCTCGTGATTGCACAGCACATTCAGAGCCTCATCGCTGCTAAGCTCATGTCGAAGGCGTCAAACCGTCCAGACGTCAAACTCGAGCAAGAGACCGCCAATGGCGCCTTCTTTGCCGTCCTTAGCAACGTCGTTGGCAGCGCCAATGAACCAAGTCGTCGGGCGGCTCGCTACGATGCTGGGATCACCGAGACGGAGGTCCTTGAGCGCCGACTGGAGAAGCACTACCTCAGTGGCTCTAGTGGTGTCATTGGAGACGGCGTGAAAGCTGGGTACCAGTACCTTGAGAAGGCTGAAGCGACCAAGAAACGCACGTACCGGATGCAGTGCTACCGCTCGAGCGGTGTGCTGGATCCCGTCTCGGTGCCCTATCACGTGCGCATGTACTTCTTGCAAGAGCCTCAATTCGCTGATCCGAGCGTGAGCAAGCACGAGACGGACATTAACAAAATAGCAGACAAGGTCTTTCTTGAGCGCTCGGGGTCCCGTCTCAAAGACGTCTACCAGGAGTGCATCATCAAAGCCATGGCTCAAATGACTCCTGCTTTCCACGCTGAAGTCTGGACTGAAGCTGATGGCTCGAAAATGGCACGGCTTGCTATTGCTTACCGCAGTGGCGCCACGCACTCGTACTTTTCCAGTATCGCAGATGTTTACCGCCAGCACGGCCTCTTCTCCCAGCGCAAGTACGCCGAGTTCTTTGCTAATGGCATTGTCATTTACACGTTCTACCTCCAGATGCTGGACAATCCCACCGCTGGAACGGGACCGTTTGAAGACCGCCTTAAAGCTGTGGTGAACGATGCCTCCATGCACTTTACGCTCCCCCGCACGTCCCTCACACCCATGCTTACGGACGGGCTGCTGACTCCTCAGCAGATCGCATATGCTTACGCAGCCTGGAAGTTCACCTTCCACTTCATGCGTCGTTTGCCCGAGTCGTTTGCAATAGTGTGCAAGTCACTGCGTGACCGCGACCCGAGCGCGTTCGCTCGCCTTGAGCAGCTCCGCTCGACGATGAAGCTCAACACGTACACCGAGTCGCAGATCCTCGACCACATCTTGAGCTCGGCCGATATCGTCAAACTTCTGTATGCGGAGTTCCAGGCTCTGCATGAGCCACACAAGGACAACAAAGTGCTTGATGTGGATACAAGCGCCACGTTGTCGACTCTACGCAAGTCCATTGTGGCCGAACAGGCTCTGCAGATCTTCTCGCTGTTCCACGTCTTTAACAAGCACATCAGGAAGACGAACTTCTTTGCGAATGACAAGGCGGCTCTCAGCTTCCGCTTGGATGGCAAGTTCCTCAGCAAGACCGAGTTCCCTGATGAACCACATGCCATTATCTACGTGATCGGCTCCGAGTTTCGTGGCTTCCATGTGCGCTTTCTGGATGTCGCTCGAGGCGGCATCCGAATGATTCGGTCGTCGCACGCTCAGGTGTATCTGGACAACGCGTCGTCGCTCTTTGACGAGTGTTACGGGCTCGCATCGACACAGCATCGCAAGAACAAGGACATCCCGGAAGGCGGCTCGAAAGGCGTTGTGTTGCTCAACCAGGCTCACCAGGACAAGGCTGACGTCGCCTTCCGCAAGTACATTGATGCCGTGCTTGACCTCATGCTGATGAAGGAGCCAGAAGAGGACATTTTGTTCCTTGGCCCTGATGAAGGTACAGCTCATCTTATGGACTGGGCCAGCTCACACGCCAAGCAGCGTGGGTACTCGTACTGGAAAGCCATTACGACGGGCAAGTCAGCTTCCCGTGGTGGAATTCCGCACGACGTGTATGGCATGACTACTCACAGTGTGCGCGAGTACGTGGTTGGCATTCAGCGCAAGTTGCAGCTCCAGGCGCCCATTACAAAGGTGCAGACCGGTGGTCCTGACGGTGATCTTGGCAGTAACGAAATCAAGATGAGTCCACAGGAAGAGACGATTGCTATCGTCGATGGTTCCGGTGTGCTGTACGATCCCAAGGGCATCAACCGCGAGGACCTGTTGAAGCTTGCCAAAGAACGCAGCCCCGTCTCGGGTTTCGACACGAGCAAGCTGTCATCCGACGGCTACTTGGTGCTTGTCTCGCACAACGACATCACGCTTCCGAGTGGTGATGTCGTAGAAAACGGCACGGAGTTCCGCAACTTTTTCCACTTGCGACCGGATCTGACTGCCGACTTCTTCGTGCCATGCGGTGGTCGCCCTGCTGCCGTGAACCTCAACAATGTCGAGCAGTTCATGTATTGCGAGGGTGGCCGCACGCTTCGCTTCAAGTATATTGTCGAAGGCGCCAACCTCTTCTTCACGCAAGACGCTCGTTCGCGTCTGGAAGAGGCCGGTGTGATCCTGTTCAAAGACGCTTCGGCCAACAAAGGTGGGGTGACCTCCTCGTCCCTTGAAGTCTTGGCTGCTTTGTCCATGACGGACGAGGAGTTTGCTGAGCACATGCAGGTTGACGAAGCCACTGGAAAGCCTCCCGCTTTTTACGCCGACTACGTGAGCGAGGTGCAAAAGCGCATTGAGCTCAACGCTCAGCGTGAGTTTGAGTGCATTTGGCGCGAGCATGAGCGTACGGGCACGCACTACTCCGTACTGACTAATCAACTTAGTGAGCGGATCACGAACCTGAGCGCGAAGATCCAGGACTCGGCACTATGGGACAATACGACATTGCGCGAGAGGATTTTTGCAGACGGGTTTCCAGACATCTTGTTGCGCAAGGCATCGCAGGAGGAGCTACTGAGGCGCTTGCCGGAGAGCTACACGCGTGCTTTCTTTGCATCGCAGCTCGCAAGCCGTCTCATCTATAGCGTTGGTCTCAGTGCACCTGAGTTCTCTTTCTACGAGTTCATTCAAGAGCTCGTGAGTGGCAAGTGAAGCTACTTGTGCACTGGATGACCTAGCAGGAGGAATACGTGCGGTAGCATTCGCGCAAAAATCGGTAGGTAAATGTACATATTGAATCACGATGCGTGTTCGACAACAAGGAGTTCGACGCAGCTTTGTGCGGTAATTCGAACTGTGACGTCCACTCGGTGCACGACTGGCGGTTTTTATGCTTGTCAACATGAGGGAGTGAGGCCCTTGAGGTTGTTAGTCAAGTTTGTCCAATTCCGGAGCTTCCGCTTTGCTACAGCACGGAGTTACCTCATGTCCATGTCCGAGACTTCCTGGACGCTACCGGCGCTAGTGATGTCCTCCTGCAGTAACATTACTCGATTCCATTGGATCCATCGACAGGTGATACAAGACACTGCTCAGTCCATGCCACGGTCGCCTCCATCCATCGATGATGTTGTCCGTCACTTCGTCCGAATTCTTCCGATTGAGATGATCCGGATCCCAGCAGAAAGCTCCGACGTCCGTCGGCTGGCACAATTGGCAATGCAAGCTTGCAGTCGTTGCAATGTCCGGCATTCTTCTGTGTAGCGGCAAATAAGCTTATGCCAGCAGCAGGCCTGGACGCGCAGGCAGAACCAAAATGTACTTCCATCTATTCTGACCCCGTGACAACACTGTAGCGTGTAGCAACTTCGGCTTTTGTCCAACTGAGGGCAATAGAAGAATGACTGAAAAGGTCCATAGTAGATCTCTACTTCCTCCTGTCCTCGTGTGAAAGAGACGAAGCTAGACAGGGACGCAGCAGCTCCAGAATAACAATCATTCATTCCGGCAAGCACAAGAAAGCACCTGCGATGACTAAAGTCGCGCACGCAGTCGGGGTCGGCAACGAATCAATCAACGACGTGCCAGCCAGTCTCCGATAAATCACAACTCTCTTGCGTCGCGTAAGCCCTAGTATAGCATGTTCCACCACCTGCGTCTCGCAACTCTGGAATCTAGACTCGGTGCTCGAAGCTGATCGTCAGCTAAGTCGCAGTTGCAAGCCACCATTGGACGTTGCGCACCGCCCACTTTGCTTCGATCAGGTTTCAAGTCTTCAAAGCGTAAACCAAGTATCGCGTCGTGACGCCGTGCTAATAGTTGCCATGGTATGCAAAAACTCAACTACTTGTTAGCGACCGAATTGAGAAATGTTGATCTGCTTCTCACGATGCTCAGCACTCCAAGCGAGTGGCGTCGTAGTTCCTTGATACACAAAACTTGATGATTGCCTCCAATAGCCAACGCAAGCACTTGTACCGCTTTACAAATATTAAAAAAAAACTAGCGGCCATTCTTGCCGTATACCTAATGGCACACCTCTTGCGGCTGTTACAGCTCGCCGGTTAACGACAAATTCGCTCTAGTACCATTGTCGCTGTTCCAAATTATGATCAGCAATCAGTCTCTTAAATAGTGTGCGTACATAATGTGGTGTTCTACACACACGAACCCATCTTACAGGTTCCAGCCTCAAAGAGTGTGGACCGCATCGAAAGCCGAATATTTACACTTGATCTCAGTATGCAACTGGTGATCCACTCGTTAGGGGGGGGGGGCGTCATCCACCACGCACAAAACCTCACAATTAAACGCCCAGTCAGTTAATTGCAGCGCTACAGCCGCCGGTCCAAGTCCCATGCAACGCTTTCAGGTGCGTCCATCGTCTTCCACGAGCATTGACGGGCCATTGCGAGCGTCCTCTTCTGCAGCTCGCACTTCCTCTGGACGCAGCTCCCTTGCGGCGCAACGCGCTCTCGCTGCTGTCATGATGCTTGCACTAAATCAGTACCAATTCGACTAATTCTGACTTGTTTATTGCTCTTTTTATACCCCCATGCTGTGAAAACATCTGTTTTTCTATAACTAGACGGCGCTACGTCAAACGAACATATGGCAGCGTGTAGCCATCTTGAACTCACACCACTGCTCCCGTTCATTTCTAGCCAGTCAAAAGGCGTTGACAATCCGTGCATTTAGTGCCTTGCCCGACCATGAAGTCGTGGGTCTGCCAGCCCTGTCCCCCACTATGGACGTGGGCACGATCGCCAAGTGGAACAAGCAGGAGGGCGACCTCATCTCTGCGGGCGACGTGGTGTGTGAAGTTGAGACGGACAAAGCCGTGGTGGACTTTGAAGCCACGGACGATTCGTACTTGGCCAAGATCCTCGTGCAGGCGGGATCGGGCGAAGTGGCAGTGGGCAGTCCCATCTTTGTCACGGTGATGGAGAAGGATGAGGTTGCTGCTTTTCAGGACTTTTCCGTTGACGCGGCAGCGGCTGTTGAACCTGGACCCGCGACCATGCCTGTTGAGGCCGCACCAACGCCAGCTGACGTTCCTCGCCCTTCTACTTCAGCTCCAGCTTCAGTCACTGCCGCATCTACTTCAGGCCGTGTATTTGCGAGTCCGTTAGCCAAGAAAGTCGCACGGGAATCGGGTGCTGTATTGTCAGCAATAAATGGCTCGGGTCCTAACGGTCGTATCGTTAAAGCGGACGTGGAAGCTGCGTTGGCTGCTGGCACTGCTGCTCCGACGGTGGAGGACACGGCTAACGAAGCTTCTGCTGCTGCTGCTACTGATGCGGATGCCGCTGCGCCGACTGCTACAATTAACTACACGGACTACCCGATCAGTTCGGAGGCCCAAAAAATTGCCCAGCAGTTTACGCAGCAGAAGATGGACGTGCCGCACTACCATTTGTCGACGAACCTTATGCTGGACAAGCTTCTGGACGCGCGAGCCCGATTGAATGCTGGTCGTGGAGAGGACGAGCACTTGTCAGTCAACGACTTTATTGTGCGTGCCGCTTCGCTTGCCATGCGCAAGGTGCCGGACGCCAACTCGAGCTGGAAGGGCTCATTTATTCGTCAGTATAACGACGTGAACGTTAACTTGATGGTGTCTTCGGCTCTGGGCGGTGGAGTTTTGGCCCCTGTGCTGACCCGGGTGAACCGCAAGGGTCTGGACGATATTAGTAAGGAAACGCGGGCAGCTGTAGCCAAGGCGAATGACGGTACCTTTGAGCCGGCCGACCTGGCAAACGGTACCTTTACGATTTCTAACGTTGGCCAATTTGACGTGCAGTCACTGACTGGCATTGTCCGTCCCGAGCAGGCGTGTCTGCTTGGCTTGGGTACGATCGAGAAGAAGGTAGTGCCAAATGACGACCCTGACGCTGAGCAAATTTATAAGTACGCGCAGGTGATGACCGCCACGCTTGCTTGCGACCACCGCGTCATTGACGGTGCCGTTGGTGCACAGTGGTTGGCCTCGTTCAAGGAGCTGGTGGAGGATCCACTCAAGATGATTCTGTAGGAGACGCCAATGGAGTGGCTATGGAACCGCCACAGACCGAGTGGGGGACCAGAGGATATCGGCGTTGGTCGCACGGTGTCTGTGCTGATTCATGACTTTGCTTTCGTGCTGCGGTGAGCTACTTCTACTTGTTGCCATGGGTTTGGCGTTCGATTGTACTGAAGCAAATGAGCTTTTGCAGTCGCTGATCGAGCCGGATAGATTGAGGGTGAATGAAAATGGTCCGACCAAGACATTCTTTGACTTGTTCTGCTTGGTTCCGTTCTTGTGCGTAGAGGAAATCGATGAATGACTGCTGCCCTTGTAGGCGTCTGATCCTCATCTATGCTGTGCATTTGACTTTCGTCGTCGATCCAGGCACCGGGTCTTGATCAAATAAATCATTGCTTGATAGCGCTTTCCTCCAAACCTTTTACGACAAGTCGTGCAAACGACTGACAACAGATCACCGAGCAATAATCTCATCGCACATGGACGCCCTCGTAGCAGAGCAGCGGTCGAACTTGTGTTGATAGGTAGAGGAACAGCAACTTACAGCAAAGGTTGTGAGATTATATTGATGCAATAACGATGTGCGTCCTTTTTCTCGACTTTAAATTTCAACAGTGCGGCCTCAAACTTCTGCTGACTTCTTCCACGGCGCATTATGGACGACAATTACGAGCTGCGGTGAAGTCATCGCGAACTTGAGGTTCAGTATTGATACGGAGCTTGCACTTTGCCACCAGTGTAGCCGCGGTCGACGTCGTCAAAGTTGAGCGACGATTCTGAGATCGCTGGGTTGACCTCACCTGCAAAACTTCCAGCACTGTCAGATATAATGCGGTTGTCGATGCCAGAGCTTCCGACTGCATCCAGTGATCCACCCGCAATGTCCAGAGATCCACAATCCTCCATGTCCTCACTGCCAGCCATGTCAAACGATCCACAGTCTTCATCAGGGACGGGAACCGAGTTGGTTACGACTCGGTTGTCACCCTCACCAGCCGTATCAAGAGATCCGCAATCATCCTCGATGCCAACAACGCCAACCGCATTGACGTTCGATCCAGCTCCGCTTTTCGGAGATGTGGTGATGTCAACAGTAGGCGAGATAACTTCCGTCGTTGGTGTAGCAATCGGAGCCGAAGATGTGTTGAACGGGTCCGTAGGAGCCGGCGTGCTTGGTGCAACGGTCTCCGATGTGTCCGATCCGATGATCTTTGTCGCGTTTGGTGCAACACCCTCCGTCGTGTTTGGCGTAGCAGTTGTATCGGCAAATGTAAAAGACGGTTCCCCCGTAGAAGACGGCGTGCTCGTTGGCACAACATCTGCCGGTGCCGTCGCATTGGATGGTGCCGGTGTGGTCGCCTCCCCAGTAGACTTACTAGTGTTCACCGGGACATCCGTCGTGGATGGCGAAGCAGTTGTTCCTGTAAATGAATAGGACTGATCCGGAGCAACGACTGCCGTTGGCGTATCACTTGAACTCGTCGGCGGACTCGACTGTTCCGTCGACTCACTAGCATTCACCTCTGTCTGCGATGTCGAGTACATGTCACTGCCTCCCTCAAGTGCGGCGCAATTGACGTAGACTTGCCACGTTGACGAGTGCAGCGCCAACCAGTAGAACGTGAACCGACTGGCGCCCGAGCACTTGGCCTTGTCATACGGCATCTTGGCTGGAACGGTGGTGAAATGAGCCGCACAGTTCTCGTCTTGAAACACTTGAGTGTCGTCACACCAAGCCTCACAAGGGCCTTCGTGTGAAGCCGTGAAACCTTCCGTGCTCGAGTGAGACCACTCAAGCTCATCCGGAATTGGCTGAGGGGTCCCGTTCGGGTCAGCGAGTCCACACTCGAGCGTGGCGCCTTTGGCCACGATCTGACCCAAACTTGTTGACAAGTCCTTGATGGAAGAGAACTTGCTCGAGCCAAAGGCTGTCCAAAAGGCTGCTGCGTTGTCCGCAGGTGATCCGGTAAAAGTCCCTGGCAACCCCGAAGCACTGGACTCGATCGTTGCAACGAATTGCGTCGTATCACCACCGTTCGGAAACGTCATTGCGGGACGGCTGCAGTACCCGTGTGCATTGACCGCATCAAGAGCCAAAGCTGCAGCTCCCAGAAGAAGCGTGTGGTGGTGGGTCTTGGAGATCGTCATGAAGGTCGAGAGGAGATGAAAGTTGTGGCTAGTAGTAGCTTGTGAACTTGACCAGGTAATTTTACTTGTGAGAGAACTGAAGCAAGACTTGCTCGAGTGCCAATTCGCTTCCCGAAATACACAAAGCTTCGAGTCTTAGGACGTACAAAGGTGTCGTGTTCATAGTCATCGATACGCAGGTAGATATCCCATGCGAATGGCTCATATGAACAGCAGATGTCTCTGTTTTCAGGGCAGGTGGGAACTTCGACCGTTGACAACCGGGAAACGCTTCTGATTTGACTGACAAGATGCAGCAGCTGTTGCGGTGGCAAATCCGCAGGAAGGGTTTCGCGCGACTGAAGCTGTCAGCTCAGTGGTAGTGCCTGCCTAATGGATACTATCAGATGGCCGAGCGCCATGCATGGAAGACCACGCACACTGGACGGACACCCTGTCCGAATCCTCACGTGCCTTTGTTTTTTCGATTTCCGAAGATCGTGGACTGGACCCAACGCGCGACTCGGTGGCGTGCGGATAAACACGATCGATCGATCGATCAGGAGTCACGAGCGTTTTTTATTTCGTTCACGTGGTGCCAGAGGCGTCGGTTCATCCCTGACGCTACAACAATATGCGCCGAGCTGCCGAACTTGAGCGTCTGAGCACATTGAAGTGAAAAGGAATCGACACAAGAGTCGGTCGACGGGTGTTTTCGGCGCTGAGGAAGACGTTTACTTGTAACTACTATCGCTGCTGTCGCAACTAGAATTTTGGGAACGGTTTCAGTCACGAGAAGCAGCAGGCACGGCACGGTTCTGCTTCTTTGTTGTCGAGGTGGGGGTTCCAAGAAGACCAGTGAACGCCGTTTTCGTTGTTTCTTCGTGCATGGATCTCTCTCTGCGTACGACGTCTGTAAGGAAAATGTAGTCATGATGCTGGAAAAGTGCCACTCCCGAACGTGCTCGAAGACGTGCACTGAACCGAATTGGAACCATGAAAACGGCTGCATTCGCGTCGCTGATAGCAGCTAGTACTGTCTTGTTCCTAGTCACTCTCATCTCGGTCGACGCTCATGGACAGATGATTCGGCCCACGTCACGACCGATTTCACAGAAGTTTCGAGCTGATTGTGGGGCTTTAAGTGGGGCTGGCGACCAAGAACTGCAATATGCACCTGTGGAGCTGCTCAATAGCCGAGCGCAGTCCGATCGACCTGCCGCTCCTACTTTCAATGTCCTGAATGGCTGCAGAGGAACGGTGTACGAGGTAAATAATACCGTCACGGAGGTAGAGATTGACACGCCGTTTGACGTCGAGTGGATCATCCAGGCTCCGCATCCTGGCAGCATGGTGCTCAGCATCGTCAAGCCTGCAATTGACAGCAGTGGTATCATCACGTACGAATCTGTGGCAGTCCTGCTGACCATTGACCCGTTCGCAACTAGCTCGACCAAAAAGGCTAGTACAGTGGCTGTCATCCCGTCAAGCGTGACGAGTTGCGGATCAGCAGGTGATTGTGCGCTGCAGTTCTACTGGCACTCGGATCTGGCAAGCCAGACCTACCCGACCTGCGCAGACATTGTGGTAACGCGGAACGGTCAGTCCTTGTTAAGGACTTCTTTCGCCACTCCCGCGGGTACTAGTGGTAGCCTGCAGGCTGCTGCAGATTCGATGGCAGGAGTACCAAGGACGGAACCACCAAAGAGTGTGAACAATGCAAGCAGTGACGAACCTGTAAAGTCGTCAACTGTTTCGGAAAAATGCACCCGTCGTCAGCAATAATGCTCGCACAGGCGGGTGCTCTCTATAACTCGCTTAGCAACTAGGGTGTATGTTAGATTGACAGGACATGGATCTTGAGGTGAAGCGCGCACGCAAAGGCTTTGCCTCGGAGTGAACGCTGAGGGAATACACATGATCTAATCTTTTCCATTTACCCGTTCAACATTTGGTTTGCATGCACCTACTGCGTGTACACAAGCTGTTTGTTTACAATTCCGTTCGTCGAAGCTGTTGCACGTGACGCCACAACGCACAACTGTAAAGAGGGGAAGGACGTTCTCATCGTCGTCTGTCGATTGCGACTCTGTGATCGTGTCGAACGTCCATGCAACTGCATCGGTTTAGTTGCACGCATGACCTCGACACCAGCCGGTTCAGATATCCAGGTCATTTCAATACGTGCATTACACACTTTTCTTTCTCATCTCCATCTGGCTAGGTAGCAATTATAATGACATCCTTGTCCGAACAAAAGCGCGATCGCGCAATTGGTCGAGGTTCGACTTACGAGCAGCGATGACAATGATGGTAACGTGAGAATCGTAGGCGAGCGAGGCCGAGCCTGCGATCACTAGTTCCGACGCCAACGATGAAGCTTCTCTTTGATGTGCGAGGTGGAACCACCAAGTGGTGGTGAACTCTGGAAAGAGGTTGACGCTTAGTGTCGTTTATCTAGGTGCCATTTCCATTTGACTACGCGATGTTGAGTTCGCACCATTGGGTCGACACGATGACATCAACTACAATACGGAAACGACTGTGCAGACGTTGGCCATGTACCGACGTGATCAGCACCTTCCTTGATGGGCAGATGTGCACTACGTCTATTGAAATGCCTAGTCCGTGAGTACGCATTCGGTCTTGCAGCGCGAATGGGTGATAATCGAAATCGACGACTTGATGTCGACAAACTGTACCGACATCGTGATCGCTGGAGACCGATCCGCATCGGCGTCTTCGACAATCGTCACTCCTTTCATTACATGCACCGATCTAGACCAAATCGATCTACACACGACCACAACTCACGCCGTTGTCTGTTTCCTCGCTATCTATCTCCCATCGGTGGATAAAGGCGCATGCATCACACTGATCAAGTATGTCATAACGCCACGACTCGAACGCACAGTGACACAATGGCGCTTTCTGCTGTCGAAAGGCCATTGATACGCCAACGTCACGCTCCAACCTGAACGAGTTTTCAGCCCTTCGTCGTCGTTTGGATCGTTCTTTGGCGCAATGTGTTGCACTTACATAAGACAGTCCACAATTTAGCGATGTGGCGTGGTCGCCTCCGTCTGCTTCACGTGAGAGTTAGCATTACGGATACGATTGTCCGAAGCTTGTGTAGTTGTATAGCATGTGAAAGGGTTGCAAGAACGTCAAGTAGTTACGAAGACTCAATGTTGAAAAACTAAACCTACACGAAGCATGAGCGACTAATTTCGCTTGAGCACCTGTACGCTGCGAACCATTGAAGTCTAGATAGAGTCATCTGCTTTTTCAAAGCTCCTACTGGACGGCATGAGCCACCATTTACCAGCCATTTACCGCTTCATTACCTGGATCTGTTGCCTTGGCCACGTTTACTTGCTACAGTTTGCAATAGTTGTTGCAGGTAGCAAGGCACGGATGTATGGAATTGAAGCAGTGATCCGATGTATATCGTAATAGTCATTGTAGAGCTATCGAGAGCCTTCTTCAGCTCCAGCACGGTACAAACGTTAATGAGCTGTCAAATCGTGGCAACTGACACCGTCATGATGTGATACTCGTGTCCAGATGGTGCTGCTGATCCTTCCTTGTCAACAGATAGTTCATACAGCCAATAAAGACGTCGACGTAGTTCATGGAACTTGTTGTAGTAGTTATCACTACGCAAGTGACTTGAACGAGAAAGTGTTGTTCGCTCAAGCACCTACATCTGTGTCATGTCATGGCTTTGTCTATGAAGTAGCAAGACATCACCTTTATGATTTGCTTCAACCACTACTGAGTGGTGCGCACACTCAAGAAGTCAGTGCCATCGACTACGCCCTACGTAGTCCTCAGCATTGCGATGAAAGACAAAGCTGAGGATCTCAAAAGGGTCTTCTCAAGTATTTTCTCAAACAATTTGTCAGGTGTGAGCAGCTCGCTCCTTGTAAATGACAGTGAAGGCATCTCGAAGCCGAAGCTTCACGATTGACACCACCTCGTCGTCATTCTATCAGCAGGATCAATCAACAACTCATCGTCATGCTAATCACTGCCCGCCCGGTTTGCTCATAATGTTCATATATTCACAACGCAATACACACTGTCCTCCTGACAAACTAGCAGCAAAATATGAAGAAAAAGGAGTGGACAGCACACTGGTCACATCTAGTTGCGTCGACGACGACGGACCGTGCACTTCTCGACCGCCGGAGCAGGCGTCGTCGGGACTGAAACATCTGCTTCCACAACCTCTTTGTTCGCCTTGACCTTGGCATTGTCAGCCTCATCCGTCTCCTCCTCCTCATCGCTCTCGTCACCGCCTGCAGATGAGACTTCCGTCTGACTGACTGAAGACTCAGCGGGTGTAGGAGCCTCTGTAGGTGCAGGAGTGGTCGGCGTAGGTGCAGGAGTGGTCGGCGTAGGTGCGGCAGTTGTCGGAGCAGGTGTCTCAGCAGGAGTGGCAGGGGAAGTCTGGGCCGCTTCGTTGGAGCTGCCCGATGAATCGGAAGTGCTCGAGTTCGACGGCGACAAGGAGCCAGTGAGAGGAGCGCAGTTCATGTACACTTGCCACGGAACCGTGTGCAGGGCGAGCCAGTAGGACGTGAGCATCTTCGCCCCCTTGCATTTGGCCTTGTCGTACGGCGTGATCGCCGGGTGCTCGGGGAAATTGATGGCAGCGTCCCAGTCCTTGAACACGAGCTTGTCGTCGCAGTAGACTTCGAACGGGCCCTCGTGCGACGCCGTGAAAAAGTCCCATTGGATCTGGTCCGGGAGGTCACGCGGCGTGCCGTCCACCAAGGAGAAGCCGCACTCGGCACTAGAGCCGGGCTCGAGTTTCTGCCCCTTATTAATGAGCTGTTTGACGGACTTGAACGAGCTCGCATTGAACGCTGTCCAGAACGCTTTCGTATTCGACGCTGCGTCGGTCGTGTACGACTGGCCGGTCGGAACAGGCAGGACCTTGGCGGGGTCGATGAAGGCACAAGGGTTGTTCCGGGCGTAGAAGCCTTCGGGCCAAGTCGGCAGCGGCAGCATCATGAAGTTGTGCGCTTGAGTAGCGGCAGCCAGGAGAGCAGCAGCCAATGCAGCAAACTTGATCGAGGTGGGCATGGTGGTTGCTAGACAGGCTGGTAGTCAATGTGAACCAATGGAGGAGGCAGTGGACGGGATGCAAAGGCGGCAAGTTCAGGAATGACTCAAGTGGAGTGGCCAATTGAGGCCAGACCGCTCCGGGATGAAGGGATGGGCCGTGGCTCTGAAGCATTGCAGGCGAATTTCTCGGTCCCATCTTTGACGCTACTACACTTCGTATCTTCCAATGTGCTTGTCAGCAAAAGCAGGTGGAAATGAAGCACGCACGGTCCAGCGCACCCACCGTCAAATCTCCCTCGCTGTTGCGAAAGCTGAACGAAAAATCACGGTGGACGAGCTTTTACCATGGGACAAGCGCCGTCGGGAGCATCGCAACGAGACGCAGTTATCTGGTCGAGCTTCCCGCGTCCCAGACGCTGTCGTAAACATAATTCATTAGGGATCGACGTTTGTTTTCTTCGGCTCTTCCCGTACGAGACTCGCTCATCTTTTGAGCTCAAGGTGTCTGCACCAAGAGAAGCACAAGACAAAGGTCGAGGTATCTCACATTACAGCTAGCAATAGCGCTCAAGAACCTCGGAGAGCCAATCTCTCGACCGATGCAGCTGTTTACGCGAAACCGAAGCATCTGGCTTTACAGCTTCCGCATCTGATCCACCGAACGGACCAGCAGAACAACTGCACGATGGAGTGTCCTCTACACGCGCGGTAGCACAGGTGCGGGCATCGTTGCAGTCCAGGAGATGGCAGCTGGGGGGTATGCCATCATCACCGTCACTCGGCGTCTTGCTGGAAGCTTCCGCCAGCATCATTTGCGATCAACGCAAATGAGTCGTAAACGGATTGTCCTTGGCGAACGCTAGTAAGAGACCTGTTGTCTTTATGCGCTGCCAAGGTGCAGAGCTGAACGTCGAGGGTATGAGGCTAGCAATCGATGGGTTGCAGGTGGGATCTATCGACTTGTCGTAAGCATCCGACAGATAGGACTAATGCCTGCGACACGACTTTCACGTGTCTGCAAATCCGTACACCGTAATAGCTCCCGCTTTCGTGCTTGCCTCCTCAGTATGTAAGTGGAACGGAGACCTACGAGCGGTTTTGATTCATCCGTCGTCTAGTCGAGAAAGCGACATGCACATGTTCGGAAGTGTATCTCAGGCACTGCAGTTTCAACTCATTGAGCTTCGGTGTCTTCGCCCACTATCGCTTCCGCTTTTGGTTTCAGTAATGGCGGTGTGACCAGCGGCTACTCAACTTGTTGAACAGCGAAGTCGATTTGAGTGTCCATCGAACTCGCTCTTATCGCACACGTACCCGATAAGGACCGAGGTAAGTTACACTCCAATGGCCCTTCTCGTGCAGGCTTCGAGGACACGTCAACGTAGGTGTCTCACTACTACCTTATAAGCCGTCGAACTACTGCACTCTTTCACCACGCCATTACACTGCGTGACAGGGAAAGCACGAGGAGAATCCATTCCTGTTTACTTCGACTGTCACGAGGTCGTGCTGGAAGGCCGCAGCATGTCAATCCACAGCGTGCGAGTACTAAGCGCATACTAGCATTGCTTGGTAAGCATTTCTCGCGCTTTTCGATGTGCTCCGGTGAGCTACTTGCATCAGACTCGCAGGATTTTTTGATACGTAGGACGCGATGACACGGTTGTTTGTTGAAAGCGTTGTTCGTACAGGTTGTAGCGGCAACGACGTTATAAGCGTACAGTGTTCTTTGCTCACCATAGCACACAAGGAAGGTTGTGGTCTGACTGTAGCACGGGGCGTGCTACTCCACTTCATTGTCGAATGGCTTGTGCGTTATACTTCCATAGCGCTATCCGATCGGATTCAGACCCGTAGACTCGTTTGGGTTGCTCTCTCAGATCTCTGGAAGTTGCGGCAGCAAGACCAAATTGCCTCGGTATTCTAGCAACCTCGATGTGTTCACGCACGACCTCATAGTAGGATTTCATATGCATGGCGGTGACTTTGCTTTGATGCGTGTGTGCCGTCTATAGTGTCAACGGTACGTTCGAGCGAGAGCTCGCTTTATCAACCGCCACAAGCGATTACAGGCTTGCTCCTGCCGCCTTTGGTGCTCTCGATCTTGTTGTGGGACAGTATCCGAGGTGCTAGGAGAGCTCACAGATGATGCCGAGTACATGTTGGTAGAGCGTTTTGCCTTACCAATGGTACAGAGGTATGTGCCCGAATCTGGCTTTGCCTTAACATGACAACCTATTGCGAGTGAGCTACATGCACAATCCGCTACTGCTCGATTCCGTCGACTGTGTCGAATACATGAGGTGCCACCAAGCTCACGTTGCCTCCTTGGCAACCTCTAACGTAGGCATGCAGCACGAAAAAATACTCGAGACGGTCTATTGTACAACAGGCCTTGGACGCAAAGGTCATCTCATGCAGCAAAAATGCTACTGGTTGCGGGTCAGCAGCGTATTTATTGAGCTCCATCCAGTCGATCTGACGACGATGATGATGACTTCTGCTGTGACGGCGGCCAACCGCGTAGTGTTGGGTTGGCCGATATAGTTCTACCCCGTTATTGGACTTTCACTCGTACACGACTTTGATGCCTTCGAATCCAGTGTCGTCCAATTCAATCGATCTGACTCAGTGAAGGTTGTTCACAAGCTCTGGCCTTCGATGCAGAACATTGTGTCATTAGCGGCGCGTGATCACGGCGTTTCGTCTTCGATGTACCTACAACTTTCGACCAGCACTCACCGACACGAATCTTAGACCGTTAGATGGAGCTGCATGCATCACGCGTGGACTGGATGCCGTGTGTACATACATTTGGGGTTCCATGCATACTGGCCGTTGAATGAAATACTAATGCACGGTAAATGGCGTCAGCACATTGACGCAACAACGAGATTTGCCTGTGCTGTAGCTTGACGGAGACTCTCCACAGACAGCTGTGCTCAGAAGATGTATCTATCGTTCCCAGCAATACACATAGCACCTGGATGCAGGTACTTTCGTGATGATATGATGGGCAGCTCGTCTTCCATTTCGAGCCTCACCATTGGATGTGTAACGTGAGCAGAGCGACCTCTTGCCTACATACTTCAAATGCACGATGAAGGGGGAAAGCGTCACCAGTGGCACCGAGCATTAACTTTGTCCTCTTAATCCTAATACCCACTTCGGAGCTTGCACTAGATCTAACGTGAACGCCATTTTCTTGTGGCTTACGACTGTCTCTCTCCAGTTCTCAATGTCGTGCATCACTTGAGACGCGCTATTTTGACGCATGAATCGTACTTAGCTTTATAATAGGGCTCCAGCCACCAAACGTCTCGGACGATTCTATCGTTTCGGGAAAAAAAATCCTCTTCATTTCAATCTCGGATATTATCCACCACGTTTCATCCCTCTCGAGTCGCCTCGTTAGAAACGTTTCTAACTTCCATCGACACTACCGTCCTCGACCACCACGACCCAAGCGAGCGCACAAATGGCCGACGATGGCTCGACTTGGGACGCCGCGGGCGTCGTCGCGCGTGCCAAGGCGCTGATCCACTCGAGCAACGTACGTGCGTCTCTTCTTGCCCTCTCTCTCGCGTGCATTTGGACGTGTCACACGTCCGATTCGCCCCTGAACCTGCTCGCTATCGCCGTTTGTATCGTCTGAAGTAACGCTAACTTTGGACTCTTTGGGTGGTAGTACGAGAAAGTGGCCGATGCCCGGAAAAGCGTGGACGATGTATTGGCTGCATGGGTTACCGTTACTTCACACCAGACCGACCCGACCCGGGTCGCTCAATGCACCGCCGCTGTCGTGTCGCTCTGGCACTTTTATGCAGCGCTGGAGATGGAGCTCCGGCAGTTCAAACAGGCGATCAAAGTCTTTGAACGAGCAGTGACGTGCCCTGTCGCAGGCTCCCACATGGCCTTGTGGCTCCAGTACGCCGACTTTTGCGTGCAGAGGAACAAATTTTCCAATGCTCGAAAGGTTTTCGTCCGGGCGCTCGAGACGCTGCCTGAAGACAAACACACAGCCGTGTGGGCGCGATTCTACGGCTTTGTGTGCACAAATGTCGACAATAAACTGTCTCTGGCTATGCTGCAGCATCAGGTGATGCCGGACAAGTTCCCTCAGCCAGGAGCAGCTCTTGGTGTGGCACTCCCGCATGCCGCGCAGTCTAGTATGATCACTACTACGCGTGCTTCGGTTGCAGCAGTACCTGCTGTAGTTCCTGCTGTGGCTTCTGTTGTAGCTCCTGCTGCAGTACCTAGTGCTTCTTCTTCTTTGCCGGTACCGATGCAGACGCTTCCAAGTACATTGCAGCCACAACAGATGCAGTTGACTAGTGTCCCGAGCACTGGGACTAGTACAGTGTCCCTCGTCGACCCGATTGTAGCATTCGTTGACAAGACTGGAGAAGTGAAGTCGAGTCATCTGCGAACGCCTATTTCTCATGCTGTGGCAAGCATAGACGCTGCAGCCGATCGTGGAGGTGCAGTAAAAAGAGGGCCATCGGATCCTCGACTTGCGGGCGATGCGAAGCGCATCAAACAAGATGTAGCAGCACTTGGCACGGCTGTAGCAGCTACGGTATCTGCTGCTGAGCCTGCAGCGCATTTCTTGCATATTCCGCTGACGCTGCCGTTCATTCCCGATTGTCCCCACTTGATGTTTGATAGCGTGGCGGATGGCGAGGCTCAAAAGCAGATTGGCAACAAGCTCTTGGAGCGCTTATCCGACGTGTTAAGTGATAGCGCTGTCTTTGAGGGCGTAGGCAAGTTGCGCAACGAGCAGCGTACTCGCGATCGCGAGACGCTTTACCGTTGGCAAGACCTTGTTGGTATGCAGATGAAAGAAGGCAGTGAGCTGTTTGCTCGACACGTCGCACTAGAGATGCAGCACGGATTTTCAGACCCGCGAGGGCACATTGCACTCAAGACGCAGCACTTGGAGCAACGCCGCGAGTTTACTAGTCGCTGTCAGATGTCACAGCAGCAGTTCATCGATATTTGCTCTCTGGACCGCGCTAACGCTCTTAAGGCGCAGCAGACGTCGCTCGAGAAGATGAAGATACCAGAAATGATAGTGACGACGGACGTTGAAGTTATCGCAATGCAGGTAAAACTGGTCGTTGGTATTTGACGCAACGAAAGCGTTATGTAGGGTTGTGATGATGTTGCTGTATGTGCGGTTGACTAACTGACGTGTCTACGTCGTGTTGTGGTGTTTGTGCCGGTGAATCTTGCTCGGGTGTGCCCGCTCATGAATTGTTGATGTATTCTAGCGTGCTGTTGTCGGTTTAATCCTGGAAGCTGAAAAGCTATGGCGTGAGGAAAATCAGCAGTCGTCTACTGAAGTAAATGCAGCTTCTATTGCTAACAAGAAGGATCTTCAGGAAGCATCCGCATCGCCTAGCCGTTCTTCTGGTCGGCAACGACGCGACAGCCAAGACTCTATTACTTCGAGTCACTCTACAGCACGTAGTTCGAATACTGGTGGTGCTCTACGCACCAGCAGCAGCAATAATGGTCCACACGACCCACGCGGATCCCGCGCCTGGGGCGGCAATGGGAACAGCCGCCGCCGTGATCGTGATCCGCGTGGTGGCCGCGGCCGCTTGAACAAGTGGGATATCCAGCCCCAGCAGCAGTCCGGTCCTCCTGGTGCTGTCACTTCGCAACAGCACTCACGTTACAATTACTCTGGACAACAGGCTGTGCCTAGAGCACAAGAACAACAGCAAATGCCAATGTATGACCGTGGGCCGCAACGAACGCAAGTGCCTATGCAACCGCAGCAATATCCTCGCCAATTTCAGCAGCAGCAGCAGCAACCCCACGGTGCACTGAACGCACCACCTTATGATAAGTATGGAGGCCAGCAGAGTTCTATGCCAGAACAGCAGGGTTACGAGCAGCTTTCAGGCACTTACTTTTCGGGCCCGCAAGAAGGTCCTCGTCGTCTCGGCGATAGCGATCGATTTGTAGGACAAGGAGACCCTTCTAGAGGTGGCTTTGCAGGTGGGAGCTGGCCACCGTCGCAGCAACAGCCATTTTATCAGCAGCAACCGCAGCAGGTAATGCGGCAGTACCCAAGCTCCATGACTGCAGACGATTATAGACCTCCGTATGATCCTACTTCGCTTTCGCGATATGGCACAGGTATACGACCTGGTGTAGCCGCTGACGGCTCAGGCTCTGCCCCTTATGGTGTCTCGGATCCGCGTCGAGGAGGAATGCCCGTAGACGTCCCGTATTATCAGGACTTGCCTCAGCAGCAGCAGCAGCCATATCGTCATGATGATTTTGCTGCTTATGCACAGGACCCTTATGGACCACCTCAAGGCGAGTTCCAGCAGCGTGCAGGGGGTCGGGTCATGGAAAATTACGGCGGGGCACAGCAGCAGCCACTGCCGCAGGAAATGATGCAGCACCTCCAGCCGCAGCAACGTTATCAGGTTGATCACTTGCTTCCAGCCCCGACACCTAGTGTCAACAACCGTCGCAACCGGCGGGGCGGACGCTTCCGTCGGTAAGTCGTCTACTGCTGAGTTGGAAACCGTCGAATTCTGTTGAACTTCGCGCTGCCCGAGTAGGGGGTAAAGCACTTGATCGATCTGTTGCTGCCGATTTCTTCGTGGTAAGTTTGGGTAGCAGTGACCCTTGAAGATCCCGGTAAGCTTCATTTGACACATTGGTGATGCCTCTCTATTGAATTTCCCAGTTGTTAGTTCTAGGCGAGCAGAAGAAAGAAGATAAAAAAGGTCAATACAGACTTACGACCCACGCCTCTCGAGCCGAACGCCAATCGAATTTACAGCTCTCCAACGCGTTCAGCGATCTCCATGATCCTCGACGTGATGTTCTCGGGCACGCGATCGTACGCACGAGCAGCGACGAGAAGCACGTCGCGGATAAGCGCATGGTTGCCCATGATATCGACGTGGTCAGCCGTCTCAGGTCCGCCTCGCGGATCGAACAACATCGACACGGGGTTGTGGCCGTACTCACGAACGCGAACATCGACTCCTCCCGGGTTGAACTTTTGGGTCCGCCAGCCACTGGCACACATGAGACCCAACGATACAAGAGGCACTGTGCCATCGCCATCAGTGTACCGGATTCCGCCCTTGATATATGGCAGGTCGCTGACCTCCGTGTTGAACACGTAAGGGGCCACCCGCTTGCCGTTTACGTGCGCGCTGACATCTTCTTGCAACGGGTTGTCTCCGTACGAGTACCCTCGTTCTGCCGGCTTGCCCACACCGTAAAAGCAGAAGATCTTCAAACTCGGCGCTTTCGGCAAAGTGGTTTCCAACGGGTTGGTCCAGTACTTGGCCTGGTCATACTTGAGAAGTGACGGGTCGTCGGCGATACCAGTGCTAAACCACGAGCTGAATGTATCGAGGTAAGGGTCCAGCTCTCCCAGCAAGTTGTGCACGTCACCTACAGTGATGTTCTCTTGCGTGGTATTAATGAAGCGAAGGATTTGTCCGCCGGAGCCATAGCGCTCAACATGGTCGTTGACCTTCTTAGGGTCCACTGTCGAGTTCGCTCCAGTCGATAGCGGCGAAGCAGACACAATATCATCGGGCGCTGAGTCGATCGTGCCCCAGATACGGTCGCCGCCAATGGGCAGCATGGCAAAGACACTCGACCACGACCGTGCCAGTTGCGTACGCGCTGAAACGCTGAAGAAATAGCCGAGGAACTTGGACAAGCCGCCCAACTCTGCTGTGTCTTTCATTTCGCCCGACATGAGCGCACTGATCGTCTTGACGACACCCAGCGTCGGCCCCGCGATATTTACAAACGCTTCAATGTTGTTCTCCACCCACTGGTCTCCTCCCTGGCCTCCATGATCGCTCTCGACCCACTTCAAGAAGTAAAAAAACACCTGCATCGCGTACGAGTGTGTGACAAGCATCACTTTCTGGTTTCTTGACGACATCCGTGCCATTTCAATCGTGTACTTGAGCTTGGTAAAGTATGCGTCACGCTTTTCCAGCAAGTGCGGCATGAGTCTCCAGTCGTACGCTGCCATGTATAGATTATTGCTGTCGTATCCGATCTCGGCCAGATTCTCCACCAACTTTCCCCAAACCCAGAACCCACCGATCAAGTAGTCGGCTGCTTCAAGTCCTTTGGCTGCACGCAGCTTGATGCCGTCTGGGTCTATTCCAGTCGACCGGTTGAGCATCATGTGCTCCAGCCAGCACTTTTGATTCATCATAAACTGCTGCAGCATTCTCGAGGTGCCCCACATCCGTTGTCGAAAGTAGGCTTTGCTGCAGGCACTTCCATTCCAGATCTCAAGACCAGTGGACGTGAAGCCTGGCAACAGAATTACGGGTGAGAAAGCCGTGAGGTTCTCTTCTTGAAACAATTGAAGCCCCGGGCGTATCTCTCCCGGTCCAAGAAGACTCGGACTGTGGTCAAACGCGGCCAAGAGCTCGTCGCGGACGTTGACGGACCAATTAAAGTTGTCAAACATCTCCCGCACTTTCAGCAGCGAATGTTCCGTGATGAGAGGCGTCTCGAGGTAGTAACTTTGCACGCTAATGACGGCCACGACGCCAATCACGATCCCGCTCAAGATGGAGAAAATGCGTTTGCGAGCCAAATGCGCAGCAGCTCGAGCGTGCCAACTCTCTGTGCGGTTCAGCGATTTGGTCACGTCCTGGAACTTCTGCTCGCTCTCACGTTCTTGGTGCTTGGCCGTCTTGAGTTCTTCCGTGGCCGCCGTTGGAGCCGTTGACGGGGTCTTGTCACGTGACGATTGACGATGAGGTTTGCGCTTTCTCACGCCGGAATCGCTGGCAACCATGACGAAGAACAGACAAGAGAGAGAGAGTGAGAGTGAGGCGGGTTCTTACGAGTCCAAGAGCGCCTGTTGAATGACAGAGACGATCACGAAATGACGTACTTTGAGGAAGATCTCGAGCGATCGAGATGGGCTCGTCACCATGAGTCCGGCTCGTTTTTGTACTGGAGACGGGCTTAGTAGCATGAGTCCGGCTCGTTTTTGTTCTGATGCGCAAACGGGTTCGTTAAAAGAGACCGTCAACATCGTGGCTGCCGTGACGGACGTCGCGTCACGTCGGGACTTGCAGGTTGTACACGGACGTTGTGAGCTACGAATTCTATTTGCTTTAGCAGGTTAACTTCAGTGCGAACGCATTAGAAATGAGAGGTATTGACCACGACGCCTGCATCGTTAGCTTTGTTCTGTCGCACCAGCCCCACGCTATACACTCTTTGTAGCAACCCAGCTGCCAGGAAGTTTGACTGGCTCAGAGGAATACTTACATCATGCCACCCATACCGCCCATGCCACCCATGCCGCCCATGCCACCCATTGGCGGAGCCGCACCGTTCTCAGCAGGCAGGTCAGCAATCAGAGCCTCGGCTGTCATCATGAGCGACGCCACGCTCGAGGCATCCACGAGGCCCGTGCGCACCACCTTGGTCGGGTCAATAATACCAGCGTCCACCAAGTTGACGTACTCACCAGTCTGAGCGTTGAACCCAAGCTCGGGCGAGTCGTTCTCGAGCATCTTGCCCACGACAACAGCGCCCTCGTGGCCAGCATTCTTGGCAATCTGCGTGGCTGGAGCACGGCACGCGCGCTCAACAATCTCCACACCAACCTTCTGGTCCAAATTGGCGCACGAGTCGTACAGCTTCGAGAGCGAGCGCGACGCCCACAAGAGCGCGGCACCGCCACCCGGCACAATACCCTCTGCAACAGCCGCACGTGTGGCGTTCAGCGCGTCGACGACACGGTCCTTCTTCTCACCGACTTCAACCTCGCTAGCACCGCCTACCTTAATCACAGCAACACCGCCACTCAGCTTGGCTAGTCGTTCCTGCAGCTTCTCCTTTTCGTAATCCGACGTCGTGCTCTCGATCGACGCACGCAGCAAGTTGCTGCGCTCCTCGACAGCTTCCGTCGAGCCTGCGCCGTCCAGCATCAACGTGTCGTCTTTCGTGACCGTCACCTTCTTGGCGCTTCCTAGCATCTCGGGCGTTGCCGTCTCCAGCCGGTGGCCCAAATCCTCCGAGATGACGGTCGCGCCCGTGAGCACCGCCATGTCCTGTAGACTGGCCTTGCGGTTGTCGCCAAAGCCAGGCGCCTTGACCGCACACACCTTGACCCCGCCCCGGATCTTGTTAATCACAAGCGCCGCCAGTGCTTCACTCTCAACGTCCTCGGCGATAATCAACAGCGGTCGCTGCTGCTTCACGACCGTCTCGAGCATGGGAATAATCGCCTGGAGACTCGAGATCTTCTTTTCCACCAATAGAATGTACGGATTCTCCATCTCGCACGACTGCGTCTTATTGTCCGTGACGAAATACGGCGAGATGAAGCCGCGGTCAAACTTCATGCCTTCCACGACCTCGAGCTCGTTCAGCAGCGTCTTGCCGTCCTGGACCGTGATCACGCCTTCTTTGCCCACGCGCTCCATGGCGTCGCTGATCAACGAGCCAATCTCCGTCTCCGAGTTGGCCGAGATGGTCGCTACTTGCGCCACCTTCTCCTTGTCCTGCACGTCCATCGACAGCTGCTGCAGGCCGTCGACCACGTGGTCCACCGCCATCTGAATGCCGCGTCGCAAGTCCGTCGGGTTCATGCCAGCAGCCACCGACTTGCAGCCCTCGCTGAAGATCGCGCGCGTCAACACAGTGGCCGACGTTGTGCCGTCGCCGGCCGCGTCGTTGGTGCTGCTCGCGACCGAGCGCACGAGCTGCGCGCCCATGTTCTCGAACTTGTCAGCGAACTCGATGCTGCGCGCGACGGTCACGCCGTCTTTCGTGATCTTGGGCGCGCCATATGATTGGTCAATGACGACGTTGCGGCCTTTGGGGCCGAGCGTCACTTGCACGGCGTTCGCCAGCTGGTCGGCACCCTTGAGCATGGCAGCGCGGCCCTCGACGCCGAAGCGAATGTCCTTGCCGGTGGAGAAGTGGACGCGGTGGCTCGTGCGGCTGGCGGCGCGTTTCGTAGCTGCCTTTTGGGCGGCGAGGACAAGGGAAAGGTTCATATTGAGGTTGACGTTGCTGGTTGACGTTGACGTTGCTGGTTGACGTTGACGTTGCTGTCTGGAGGATGTACGTCGGACGAGGGAAATTGCGGAATGACCCGAGTGCGGCGGATCTTTGAAAGGGAGAGTGTGGGTCTTTTTGTGTGGTGGAGCTCGAGTGGGACGATTGGAGGCGGACAAGACGACAAAAAGGGGACAGCTGGTGCCTGCGAGGTGTGGCAAGTGTCGATGGCACTAGGCAAAAGAGTGACCTTGAACTCGAGACTGTTCTAGAACGCTCGATTGGAGGGACGGATGGTCTTGAATTAGGTGTGACTACGTAAGAATAGGCACGGGCGTCGGTTGCTGCGGTTGTCCGAAGGTGTTGTTACACCCGGCACTGGCCCGCCGGCTGTTGTTACTTCTGCATGTCTGGTTTGAAATTGCAATAATACAGAAGTGAAGGGCGTCACGCTACATGCCAGCACTAATATTGCAAGTCCTTACATGCAAAAAAGACAAGTATTTTCGAGACAATTGTAATGTCTTGCACCTCGGCAACAGCAACAACAACACTCTGCATACCAACGCGTTTATCCGAAGTCCATTGGGCTGCTTGCTGACAGACCTTGTTGCTGATATCCTAGTGACTGTAAGTCAATTCACGCCGTGCAACGAGGTTCTCACGAGCTTCATTCATCATTCGTTCATAGTCCACACGCAATCACCCAGCACAGATCGCTATAGCGATAGTAGTATCCGTGCTACCAGCCGCTTTTTTTCTCAGATTGACACTGCTGTCGCTTCGTTCCTGTTCTTGAACCTGTAAACATCCCTTTGTCCTTTGTGCTAGCGGTAGTGAGCGTATCTCACTCACACTGTCTCCTGAACGAGATTGTCGTCAATTGTGCCCCACCTTGGGATGTCGTGTACGGAAACCCAGCGGGAAAAAATAATTCGAAGCCATACAAAGCCTGTGCAAGCGTGTATGACTCACCACGACAGACAATTCAGCAAGTCATGATGTTCCTGTCAGTTCAGGCTCGACTCGAGCGAATGGTAGACGTCGACCTTACTTCGAACCGCATCGTCTAGACTGTATTCGTCACAGTCTCATCTACTGATCATTTGATTCCATTCATCCACTTTCTCTTCAGGAGACACATTGCACAGAATGAAGTGTCTCGACGTGCGGAATACAGCGACACGATTATCTAGCGCTTTTCGAGTCCAGCAGAACTCCAAGCGTTCGCAAAGCTTCATACTTGGCTGCTTTAGTCACGCAGCTTTGCAGTGCCATGCGATGTCATTATCTCGGATCAATAGGTGCTCATCTTGTCAATAAAATCCCAGGACGCGGTAGCCACCTTTGTCATGGTCGATGAGCTCATGGAATCGACAAGTTGGCATCGTGCTGAACGCCACTGCACTTGCCACTAACACGGTCTTCGGACTCTTCTTACGCGTTTCGAAGTACACGCCGCCAGCACCTCGAATCCAGATTGTGCAAGGCCGTCGCACCTGGCTTAAACGCGATTAGGAGCACAAAAGCATACCGTCTGGGTGTCCAGCTGGTCAAACGAGACGCCAGTTACTCACCACTTCAACATGCAGTCGAACTATGATACCTATTGGCACCTCCATTAGTGTCAAATGTAACATACTCGAGCAATCTGGCATACAAGTCATATTGTCCTCCATTACTGTCGCCTGGTCTTCAGCTTTTGCGCTTCCGTCGTCGTTGCATTTCATCAATAATTGCTCTCCTTTCCTTCACATTTGCCGTTCCAACCCTGGTAAGTAGTGGGGTATTTCTGCACATCTCTCCGCGCCCAGATGCAACACACCACGCCTTACTCTTCGTCTTCTGGTGTGCAGCAGCACGTCTTTACAAATGTCCCAATAATTGCGTCGAGTCCTGTTCAGTTTCTCGGTTTATCTCGTCATCATTCGAGACCTCAGTGACGGGTGTCGTGAGAACGACTGTTTTTGCTGTTGTCTCCACGCTGCAAGTGCCACTTGGCATAGTTGCTGATGTTATAGTTGGCGCATCCGACAAGGACACTCCATTTTGGTTTGCTTTATGCACTGAAACAATTCCGGTGTGCTCCGACAGCTCGTGTATCGACATTCGAGTACCCTCCGAGCTCTCCGTAAGACTTCTCTCCGCCGACGATGCAACATCCACTTCATCAGCTGATGCAGCACTACTGATCGGCTTCGAAGCATCAGGATGCACATTCAGCACCTCGATCGAGGTGCTAGCTGTGTCATTGGATGATTCTGAACCGCTGAACATATTTGTGGGCACGTTTGTTGTGATATGCTCTACTGACACAGCACCAGCTGAGGTACCGGACAGCTTCAATCCACCAAACATGTCGCTTGGTGCATCCGTCGAAGCGTGCTGCACAGCCGTTGTCGTTGTAGAGACTGAGCCATGGCTCAGTTTCAATCCGCCAAACATGTCAATAGACTCTTCTTTCGTAGAATCCGTCTGTACGCTTGCTCCAACATTGACCGCACTGGAGCTCAACTGCAACCCGCTGAACATACTACCACCGTCGACAGAACCATACGCGCCAAAGCCTGCAGCTCCAGCTGCGGTTTCGTCGGACGCGTCCTCCTCGTTTTCATTGTCTCCTTCTGTCACTTTTCGGGGAGAAACAATAGAGGATGTGCTGACCTGAAAATTGCCACTCATTTGTAAGCCTCCGAACAGTGATCCGGACGCAGATGGCGCAACAAGGCTAGCGCTATTATTATGCACCCCAGGATTGCCGAAAAACGAGTCTTTCATTTCAGAGGACGTAGGGGAAATGACTTCAAAGTTGGTAGGAGCCGCTGCTTCTTCGGATTCAGTACGCTCGTCTTGGTCTGACACCACTTCGACCTCCGTCATTTGGACATCGGACGAACTCTTTGACGAATAACTTGAGTCACCGCGCAGATGGGGCCCACCGTCAACGGGTTCATACGTTGCAAAACTAACATCCATCTCTCGAGGCGAATTCACCAAAATGCTGCTCGCCGCGGTCTCGATAACGCAAGATTTATCAGTATCAACGGCGACTCCTTCGGACGTAGGAAGTACTGTCACGACACTGCTTTTGTCCGGAGACCCGAGCTGATCACGGATAATGCTCTCATGTTCTCGCAATGCGCGCAACTCATGACTGTAGCTTGCGGCGCTCCCGTAATCCTCGTTCTCAGTCGCCGGCTCGATCTGCTCTTCCATTTCGATGACTCGTTCGTGAATTGCTGCCGAAGAGTACGTCACTGCATCACGAGTATGCGCTGCATTCACAGGGCTCATCATTTCACCATGAGTGCACTCCACTTGAGCTTCATCACTTGCCCCAGTCGAGCCCTCACGGCTACTGGATTCTCCCACAGCACTCATAGAAGACTCATTCTCGTAATCATCATCCGAAAACACCTCCTCTTCAACTGAGGTTTCTATAGTCTGCTGACGCTGCTTCAAGGACTCAATCTGGTCGTCAAGCTTTGCAGCCAAGTCGTACTCCTCATTCGTCGTTGCCTCTTGAATCCGGGACTCGAGCTGAAGAAGTTTTGCAGCGATCTCCTTCAAGACAGATGTACTGTTTTCGGTATTCTTATCACCAGCATTCATTCTTTCCACGTCAGTCACCTTTCCAGCAAAGCTGGAGCACTCACTGCCTTTCTTCTCTTCGCCGTCAAGTGAATCGTCGTCACCGTTGTCGTCCTCGACTTCGTCGTCTTTTGTCGGGTCAGATACATCGTACTTCTTTTCTAGCACACCGACTTGAAGTACGCACGCGTCATACTCGGCCTGAACCAAAAGCATTGCCGAAGATCGAAAGTCGATACCATCGTTCGCAGCGTCCCCATGACTCTTGCATTTCTCGATCTTCCGCAAAGCCGTTTGTAGGCTTTTTGCTTCTTTCCACAGCTCTTGTAGAGTCGCAAGTTCCAAGTGCTTCTCCATCTCCCTCAACTCCTTCTTTTTCTCTTCATACTCTGTTTCACGTCTATCAATACGCTCCTTTAAGTCTTGCAGCTCCATCTCCACCACTTCTACCATCTCTTCAGCTGTAGATCGGTCCTTTTCCAGGGCTTTAATATCCTTGGAAATGCGAGCCGCTTCCTTGAAGTTACGCTGCGCAGCAGCGACCTTCTTTTCTTGCTCCAAACGGGGAATCATAGTCTCTGCAGATGCGATGGCATTTCGGTGAATCAACAGAGATTTCTCAAGCTCTTCATGTTGGTTCTTCAACATCGTGAAACTTTGCTCTGCCACCGTTGTAGCATCATTCAGAGAACTAAGTTCCGCAGTCTGCTGCTTTTTGCGAATAAGAGATTGCTCACGACGGGTCTCCTGCAGTTCCAGCACATTCGCCAACAACGATGCAGCACGCATTTCCTTTTTGACAGTACCGATACGATTACCGATAAGTGAGATGTTGTCTGCGTACTCTTTCAGTTTGTCATGGAACTCTTGGCGCTGCCGTTCAAGATGGTCGCCATCCGACTCGACTTCTGCCTTAGTCTTTCTGATACCGTTTTCGCGATCAGCAATGCGCTTCAACTGGCGAGAATAGCGCTTTCGAACTGTGTTAATGTCACGTTGAGCAGTGTCAATGGCCGACTGAATCTTTCGAACCCGCTCCAGCTTCTTCTTTAGTTGAAGCTCAAGCTCGCGCACTTCTTCTTCAACGGCCGCTTTCTCATCGATCAGTCGTGCCTGGACAGCGAACTCAGAGCTACATTGACCCTCAATGGTTGCCTCAATTTCTGACTTTTCAGAATTGACGTTTTCTAGACTCACCGACACGTGGTGCAGTTCAGTATCGATGCGTTCAGCTTCGAACTGTAATTGCTCTTTTTGATTGATCTCGTACAGCTTATACTCGTTGCGCACGACCGTACGCTCTGATTCTTGATCCTCGCAAAACTTCTCGAGTTCACGTAAAGTGCCGCGCGTACTTTTCAGTTGGTTCGCGAAAGCTTTCTCCTTCGTCCTTACGAATGCGACAAGCTCACTGTCCAGCTTTCTAACATCGCTTTCGGTAAGCGTAATACAGTGTCGTACGCTGTTAATGGTGGCATTCAGCGCGTCTGCTTTTTCAAAATCTTCGACTTCGCAAGCATGCTGCTGCTGGACTTCAACGTCACGTAAATCTGCTTCGTATTGCGTTAACTGATTCGCAAGCTGAGCTTTGCGTTCCAGCAACCGATTCTCCTCTCCATGCTGTTTAAGCGTGAATTGACGGAAACTCAACGCACTCTCATGGAAGTCGCGCAACGTACCAAACAAACGCTTCTCCGGAGTCAGAGAAACTACTAGCACTGGGGAAGATGACTTTGGGTACAACACGGGGTCAAGCATTACCACTGGATCATCATTTGCTGGTTCGTCGGCATCTTCGCCAGCAATACTACGTGGTGGTTCGTGGATGCTAGAGCTCAATGGCATGCCAGTCTCACCAGATCCCAATGCAGGAGATTTTAGCACCTTCGTTGGAGAAGGCAATGACAAGGCTGACGTGTGAACCGTAAGGCCAGCGAGAACACCACTACCGGAAGTGGTGTTTCCTTTATGAACCGTCAGCCCTCGTAGAACCGACCCAGATTTTACCGGAGGCAACAAATGAGCTAAATCCGTCGCTGCAGCAGCAGCGCTGCGTGAACTATGTGAGCTTTCCGATCGATCTGGTGTGAGACGTCCTTCTCGTTGGTGAATGATATCGTCTTCTTTCAAGTCGCCGCGTTGCAATGCTGCCGCTGACTCATCCGAAAGCTGTCGTCCGAAGCCAGGGCGAAACGTTTTCTTCGTTTTCTTCTTCACAGCCTTTGAGCTCGACCTTGACGCCGTCGTACTCGTGCTGCTCGACGCACTTGTTCGGGAGTACTGTGATGAGTCTAATACACCCGAACTCTTCGAACCGGCAATGTGCTGATGAGTAAGCGGTCCTGTGCTCCCATTATACTTCCTTTGCTCGTGACCGTTCGTCGCTATCGCTCGGGCGCTTCCATCGTCACGCATCACGGGCGCCGGGGCACCGGGAGCAACTTCAAGACCACTAAATAAACTGCCACCTGCATTCAAAGACTGCGTAGCACCTGAATAGTGCATTGTTCCACCATAATTGCCATACTGAAGCTGACTCGGAGGCTGAGCATTGTACCTTCCTCCTCCATTGTTGTCGCTTAATCCAACACCAACAGCAGGAGCAGCAACAGCAGCAGTAGGAGCTTTGACCGACATGCCGCCAAACATGTCCATGGTTCCAGGAGGAGCTCCTCCTCCCATCATCTGATTCTTTCGTGGAGAATTATTGCCATACCCTGACGACAATGGGTACCCTCCAGCTGTGCCAGCAATTCCTCCACTCACGTAGTTACTGGGAACAGCAGCACCAGCAACACTTTGAGAGCCTTCCGGCTTCAGGACTGGAGGCGGCAAGTTGAAGAAGCCGCCGCCAACGGGAGGCTCGTCAGCGCTGTTCTGGCCGCCCTGACGTTGGCGGCCAGGGGGGCCGCTCTTGCCGTCTTCCTTGTTCTTGAAAAAGCGGCCAAACATGGCGTGATTGAGACCAAGTCTATTAAATTGGGGAGGTTGGGCTTGAACGTGCTCTATAAATGTACATTTGGGAATAAGAGCAAATGTCAGATTAGAGGTATCACTAAACCAAAATGGCGTCATGCTCTTTTTACTGCAGCTGGGGTACAGCGATAGACACATATGAGGATCGGTAAGACGTACGTGGACGTGAACGAAGGCACTCCGAGGGATCTCGAGACGGGACTTGGGTACGACACGCGGGGACGGGAGGTTCCGCGAGGTCTTTGGTTCGGTTATGTACGATCGACGGGTCTCGAGAGAAACTTGCGATATCGAATAAGCTTGTCGCAAGTTATCAAATCGTGAAAGCGATCAGAATTGCTATCCGGATACGCACCTGCCTATACGGGTTAAGCCCGACAGGCGTAAAATACCCTTACTATCAAGTTTAGTGCTCTCTGTAGGTTGTAAATGTGATAAGGAAGACTTCGGATTCGTCAGCAGCTAGTAACTTGCGATAGTGGAAGGCAACAATTCATAACTTACTTTCATCGCTTCGGGTGCATGCACTGGTGTGGAGCTTTCCAAGCGAAGCACGTGAATTCCGTATACCGATAGCCAATCGACGGTGTGAACTTGGCGTTTGCCGGCCATATGCTGTAATGTCTTGCATGGTCTCGTTGTGATAACCAGTTCCTCAATGACATCCTTGCGACCTTCATGAGATTTGTTGTTGCGTGACGGTGGGTCTGCAGAGACGAGCTTAAGTCTGCCACAGGATCTTTGGAAGTTTCTATCAACACGGCGCTGGTATACCTGACCAGTGGTGCGAATACGTCCTATGGATGAGGGGTTTCTATCACACGCAAACGGTAATGGAGTAGCATACGATTGTATATTTGCCATCATAATTTATGACAGCAAGGCCCTATCGTCAATGACTTCTCGACTTCGCTGCTATCTTTCCCAGTAATCGTCGCCTCAGCATTCACGATTCTCCACTATCCGTAGAAATCACAGTGATGGCGAACACAAACCACCAAGACAGCTTGCGATGCTGCTTGCTACTTCTTGTAAAGTACTACTACTTCAAGTACTTTTATCACTGCTCCTCGTATCGTTAATGTAAAAATGTGTCGCTGCACCGGATGCAATCCAGCTAAGGTTGTTGCATTTTACATTGGCTGATCAAAGCCGCGGACGCAATGCAATCTTCGGCAATGATGTTGCAACAGGTTGCTCCAGAGCCGACGACCATTTCTGTTACCAACTGGCAAATTCATCTTCATCAATAATAAACTATAACGCCGCCTTTGAAGACAATGCGCTGCCAATAGATCCTCTGAGTGCGTTGCCGCCGGATCGGATTACACTCAACTTTCAACAAATGACCGTGTAAGTGCAGTAGCTGTTGGGTATGACGGCAAAAGGTAGTGTGGTGCACCAATAACCTGAGCAGAACATTTCATTAGCTGGTTAAAAGACGAGAGACTAGCGATCGAATCGAAACGCTTACCTGGTGTCGAAACTCGCCTGGCATTGTCGTTTCTTCGACCATCACAAGACCATCATTTGGGTAATTGTGCTGATTGAACGGGTTCAAACAGAGATTTCCGGCAAGCACCAACGGGTAGCACCTCCGCGGAAGTTTTCCCAGTCGCTCGTCTAGCGCTTCAGCACTAAACGTCGACAACTCTTCTGCTGCCACACCTCCATATCCTGCAACTCCAAGGTATTTCTTCATTGACTTGTGGTACCGAATCCTACAACAAAAGAGACACAAAGGTACTAGTCACGTTCCGTCGTGCCTTCACCGACAAATATAGTATTCCCAACTTCATCGCACCCCCTGTTGGGCGGACCCAGCATCACCACTTTGGATTTTGTATAGTTCCAATCCACGGTCCGAAACGCCTCCTACACAGACCATCAATTTTTATATATCATACCAACAAACAAGACAAAGATCAGCAAAAGACAGTCCCAGTCGAAATCACTTGCACACTACAATAACAGACAGCGTGCTCGCTCACTCGCAGCACAAGAGCTCCATATCCGTGTGTGACAAAATGAATTGCTTCGTCTGCTGTATGCGGCTTTTGGCTCTTTAGAAACGTGGCCAGCTCTATCATAGTGCAGCGTTTAAATGTGAGCGAGAAATAGAACGTAGCACTCTACATTATAAAGTACTAGTACTACTTTGGCCTGAAGTAGCAAGGTCATCCGTCCGGGGTTGGTAGCGAAAGGACTGTACGTTGAAGCGTCGCACTGCCTGAAGGTACGACTCCAGCGGTCGTAGCGGCAACAGACCCATGTACATATCGTGTACCGTCACGAGCACGCCCTTGGCCAGCATTGTCCCGCACCGGTCGATCGCTGCGCTTGCCATGATTGTCGCGACAGAAAAGTAGCCACTTTGAAAAGCTTTATTGTTGCCCACGTCAGTATTAGTAGATGAAGGTTTACTGCTGACAAAAATGATGCGATCGAATTTGCGAGGTCATGCAATTAAATGTTAGACACCGCTGTTTTGACAGAATGTGCACTTTTTCGTCCGTAATTGACCGATTTGACCATGAACGCCACGGACCCGAGCGCCCAGAGCGTGCATGGCGTGAACCCGCAGACGCTTATAGAGAAGATCATGCGAAACCGCATTTACGCAAGCATCTATTGGAAGGAGCAGTGTTTTGGACTAACGGCAGAGACTCTCGTGGACAAGGCTGTCGAGCTGTCGGAATTTGGGGGCACTTATGGTGGCAATCAGCAACCGACCCATTTTTTGTGTCTTTTGCTCAAAATGCTGCAGCTGCAGCCGGAAATTGAGGTCGTCCAGCAATTCATTGAGAACGAGGACTATAAATATGTGACCGTTTTAGGTGCTGTTTATCTGCGACTTGTGGGCAAACCCATGGAAGTGTACAAGTTACTGGAACCACTGCTAAGTGATTACCGCAAGATCCGTAAACGAAATGTCATGGGCTGGGAGATGACGCACGTGGACGAGGTGGCTGACGCTTTACTTACGGAAGAGTATTTCATGGATTTGGCTCTGCCGAGACTCGTGGACCGGGAGTTGCTTGAGAAAAACGAGGGGTTGGCACCACGGAGAAGTCCATTGGAGGATGAATTGGACGCATCGAGTAGTGATAGTGATAGTAGTGACAACAGTGGAGAAGAAGAGTGATGATGCGTGGATAGAAGTCGTTGAGGGAATGGATGGGTTTATGACGGGTACCATTGGTGGTGTATTGTAAAAACTGCTAGTTCAAAATTAACGGTCATAGTCGATCACCAGTGCACTCACTAGTCGGTCTCTACCGCTTCTTATTGAGCTTTTCGCTAGGTAACATTGTCCTTGTTGATTTCGAGACGTACGCAACGGTAGCCGCTCGGGCTTTTACGAAATCGTGAGCGGATGAGCCAAATGACATGATCGGGATCTACTATGTTCCAGCGTGATTGTATGCAGATGGACATCCACTTGGAGCTGTATCCATTGATGTGGCACTGGAGTTCCTGGCTAATCTGGGGTTGTCATTCATGTTGACAATGGACACGACCGCAGTGAAGGTAGCACCACGTTGAGCACCTGTCCTCGATGAGTCGGGTGGTCTGACTTTCGCTCGGCGCTTGTAACGGTATGCAGAATGCAGTCAAAAGACTGTACGTCTTGCTTCCACGACTGTGTCACAGACTTGACGTACTTGACTACTTGGTGATATGCTTGCAACTCCACGCGCATTAGTTGTGTACAAACCCTTGGATGCCCCAATTTCTTGCCAAAAATGTCATTTACGACATCGAGTGCGTTACCATCACAGCCGAAGTCACTCACGAAATCTATGCCACCGCAATTAAACCAGACTGGTACTGCACCTGACGACTCGGCCCAAGGACAACAATTATTATACCATGCGGTAAGTCGTTATCCTAATGAGTATAACACAACTGTTACGTACATATCACTAACTAACAGTCATCGAGCTTTAATCTAGATTAATTCTATTACACCACCAGGCTCAGCAATTTCTGACCTTCCAGTCTCTAGCACACTGGTTGACTCGGGCCAGTAACCTGTGCTAGAAGTGCTATTGTACCTGACGGGAACGAAGCAGTGACTTTTTGAAGCTCCATTGAGAACAGTACACGCTGGTCTTGTGGTCTTGCATCTCCAATTAATCTATGGCTCTTGAAGTTCAGGTTGTGATATGCCAAGGATGAGGTCATATCTTGATAGAACTGCTCTCAACACTATTAAAATCAAGTACCTAACGCCGTGATATACTGGAACTTTCGGGTCTGTAAATTTACCCTCCCCCGTCGCAAAGCGAATAGTCGCTGTCGCGATCAGCAATCCAGGATTGCACGCTCAATCCATTTTATCTAGGACATGGGTCATGGGTATATATGCTTCAACCTCAACATTTGAGAGACGCACCAGAATCTAGTTATTTCTGATAGACCTTCCCGCGCTTACTTGGAGTCCAAGAGATCCTGCTTCATTTAATAATCATTGTGATAGACGGGATCTCAGCTTCGAGAATACTGACAGTTTTGTTTTGTACCAGACAATTTAGACGTGGGCGGGTGGCTCTCCTATACATAAGACATCGACGTATGTGATCGTATTGCTCAGACCATTTAAGCTGTGTTCGTCCTCACCAGCACGGATGAGATCCATAAGTTCTGTTGACCACCTGAGCGAAGATCGAAGAGCTTGGGTATGAACTATCCGATATAAGTCGAGCCGACTTAGTTTGAACTCATCACCAGAGGCTATGATAATGTGGAAAGTTGAACGCAAAAACCTCAGTCCAAACAACGCCTAAACGAATTTCCTTGTGAAATTGGCCACATAAAATACTCCATGGAACATCCCTCTGTATAAGTGCAATAAAGACTTAGCTCTTGGACTTGTCGAATAACTTCTTTTTACCCAGGCGCGTTGAGAAGAAGTACGAAGTCTCGCGATATGTCTGTACCGGGGCGTGAACATGCTAAAATCTGACGCTTCAACGAACAATGCATTAGTGCGTACCATGCAGGAAGTGCAGCATATATTGAAGAACAGTGAGTAGTTTCTCATTTTGAGCTCTTCCATAGAGCTCAGAGACAGCCATGTCGAAAACGGTTGCTCCAACCAAACCGTCGCAGTATTTATAGTCATCTCGACCTCTCGATTTTAAGAGGACGAGGGTTTATCCTGCTTTTTCTTCTGAGGTCTTAACGCTCGCAACAGCGATCGAGACCTAGAGTTTTCACACGAAACTGTCACGCAACTACCGAGCGCATTTTTTGCCAGGCTTTTATGAACATGAGCGACCAGAATAGTCTCATCTGCATGGAGCATCGCGTCGTCATGAAGCATATCCGGGCCTTGTGCACTAATCAGATCAATCATCTAACGCCTACCAACTCGAACAACTTTACAATAGCCTGCAGTTGGGCCTCAGCGAGATGATCAAGATTCTCCGTCGTCGCAAACGGTCTGTCTACAAGGCTAGGTGCACGATTGGCTACAGGTGTAACGGGGTGAGGCAGTTGCATGTAATTAACCCCTTGATACTTGTAAATTAGAAGTTTATTATAAAGGCTGATAATGTTTGTGAATATTACTATAAGGGGGTTACATTTAAAAACACTCACCGATTGGCTGATATGGGTCATCAAATTAGCCATCTCTAGCGGTCCAAGAAAGGATGGACACGCGCAATGAGTGGTGAGCAAGACTTTAGCATGCATTTTTGTAGCTAAATAAAATTGTGTTAGGGATAAACATAGGTTCACGATTAGGACTTAATTATATTTATTACAGTTTTACTTTTACCAGCAACTGTTCAGTTTCTGGTTGCTTTCCTTTACTTTGCCGAGTTAACAGAGGCAGTGGAAGACCACCCACGCTGCTGTAGGTGATAGTATTTCCACCCTGGTTTCCAGTGTGTTGCTCCGACACCCCATTACAACAGGTGCTAACATGTGTATCGTAAATACGGTGAATCTTCATGTCCTACAATTTTTACAGAATCAGGGGGACTGGTTACAAGAAATACTAGGAAGACTGCAAGGTCATGGCGCTGTACGAGTTCAATCACGAAAGTAGACAGCACGATAGCTGAAGATTTGAAATCATGGAATGGCTTGCATTCCCGTTTGCTGCACGATCTAGTGAATATGCCATAGCAAGGGATCTGATGCTTCTGTTATTAAAAAGAAAATACAACTATAAAAGAATACTCTGTGGTATAAACATTGACTGAGCAATTTACTTCAATGCATCTTTAGCAGCAAGTATGATTTTTTTGAGTAGCAATTACGGGTCTCCCTTTATAAATTTTAGTATCGGTGGACATATTTTCTATGATTCAGTAGAGGATATTGATGATTGGATTTTGGTGGCATTGTCTATAAGGAATTATACCAATTAAATAACTTAAAATTGTAATGCAAGATAACACAAGTTAAAGAGAAAAAAACTTTGCCAGATACACTATAGTAAAGTCAATAATTAAAGGATCAAAAAGTGAAAAGCTCATCTAGAACTACTCACTCTTTTTCCACTCCTGTAATAGAATCAACCCAAAATCGACCGAATAATGGCTCGAGAGATCATCAACACAGGTCCTCACATTTAGCTTGTACAATTTGTTCAGGTCGTGTCCTGGTCGCTCGCTGGGGTTGTTGTTCTTCGGTCGGAGAACGGTTTGATTTGGTTAAATCTCCATTGATGAGCTAATCTACTCTATTAAAAGGACGAGAGAGCTCAGCCAGAGATCAATAACCAAGAGATTTTGAGCGCAGTGAAAGGGGACAAGGAATGAGAAGAAGGAGATGAAGCAGAGTAGGAGGCAGTCACCGACAGCTTGACCGAGTGCGAGCAGATTCCCATCTTAGGTAGTGCCTGCACCTTTCATTAGCTGTCCCAGTAAATTCACCATTGTACTTCTAAGCTACTTTGCAGCCTACAGGACGACATTTGTAGTACAAACGCCGTCCAAACCACCCTTGATGCTTGTCATGAATAGGTTTACTACCCCACATTTGGTACAATATCTTAATCTAGAAACTTTAATCTTGTTTCATAGCAATCAGTTGTAAGTTAGCGCCCATAGAGCGACCATAGAACGACTGCAGTGGACGCCCAATCCTATATAATAGCGGGGGATATTAGTTATTTGGAGGGAAAGTCATCACTGTAAAAAAATAGAACAGCTAAACTTCAACTTAAACGTATCAAACCTCACGGCAGAAGGTACAACTTCACAATATGCGTCTTTTGTACCAAAATTTGAATTCTAATGTCATGATCGCATTTGTTCGTTTTTGGCTCATAGTTAGTTTCGAAGACAAAATTTGCTAGTATCGTTTCGAGCCTTTTCGTGGACTTCAAATCATCATTTTTCTTAGACGTCGACACTAAGCTTTTCGGGCTCACTCCTGCACTGAGCAACACTAACAGGCACTTCACAGCGGTATGTCATCTTATGAAGACGATAATCGTTGCGTCGTTGCGTTACAATACCATATAAGCGGCACCTGTCCCTTACACAGTGGTAGTATAGTAATGATCATTCTCCGCACGGGATATGTTATTTGATGTATTTATCCGTACGGCTTGATGTTGCCACTCTGATTACTTATTACCTCGTCTTGACGGCTCTGAACAGCTCATTGTCTTGCGATATTTTATACGAGTAGCGCGAGAGGGTAGATTTTATAACAACTAGACAACTACTTCTCAGTGCTTAAAAATGGAAAGTAGTATTAAGAGTTAAGACTACTGCTAAAATGCATATATAAATCCCCTCATAAAGTGATTGCTCATCCAGAATGTTCGAAGAGCCCTGTCCCTGCAAGTTGCCATAAACACGACACACAATTCATGTCGTGGTACGTAAACCTCAACACTCCCCTTCAACTTGCACTCTCATGAATTCCACTTGCATCACGCAGACGTAGCAGTTGTGGTGCACTTAGTGGCTTCGTTAGGTAATTAGCAAGCTGCATAATAGACAGAACATATTTGAGCTGAACTGTGCGCTGCTCAACGTGGTCTCGGACAAAACGCACCCTCAGGTCAATGTGCTTGGCTCTTGGCGTATATCCTTAATTTGTCGCAATGCTTATCGCCGACTTATAGTCCATATGCACAGTGGTTGCACTCGTGCACGCGGCACCCATTTCCAT